TGACCTTACTGTAAGGGAAATTCTAACACTTCATTCATTTTTATTCGACTAGAACCAAGACTCACTTCCAATTGAACCAGAAAATGATCACCAATTTTGCACATTGGAATTAGAACCCATGACAGAGCATGACCAGACAGGCTCTACATCAAATATAAATACAAGCCAATCAATATGTAGAATTTGTCACTGTGGAAATGCAGACGAAAAGTTGCTTACACCTTGTAAATGTCGTGGAACGTCACAGTTTGTACATGGAAGTTGTTTGGTTGGATGGTTTAGTAAGAAAAGAAACAAAACATGCGAACTTTGCCTTTATGAGGTCAAAATAAAACGGAGAGGATTAAAACCATTTTYAAAGGTAAGCTGCGGGTCTGAAGCTTTTACGTCATACACCGTTTACGCAATCCATTGTGCGTAGGATATGTTTGGGACAAGGCATGCGGACGGATTTCTTTGGGTTTCTGCAGAAACTGATCCCACAATGCATTGCAAATCACGCAGTTGACGTTAAAGTTTCAGAAGTGTATGAATTTAGTTTTTGATCACTTGAAAGCACTGCTATCTTGCATCTTTTGTAGAGGACATTTGAGCCGACATCSTCGGGAACGACATCCTCGGGAACTCCTGGGCCTGAGGATTGCGGAAGCCGCTTGAATCTGTTGAATCAGTCCATAGTGTGTCCGAAATATCATCCGTGGGATACTCTACTTGCAATTCAATACCATCGAGTTTAATTATATATTAATCAGTGTTTTTTTTCTTTCTTTACAGTGGACGTTTCCAAGGGGATCCTGTGACTTCATCGGTTTTCTTTTTGCGTTTTACGGCATTATTCTCCTGATTTTTGTCATCATGATTCTACGAATTGCATCCAATGGTTGTAAAAGTACAGTWTGCGTTGTTTTATACTTTGTCAGCGTYATCTCACTTATCTATTTTTCGTACTGCTGTGGATTCGTCGAACAGACAAAAAGATGCTGGAGAACTTACCTCGACTTAAACAGAAAAGTTATTATTGAAAATAGGCAAGATAGTTGCGATAGYRTCTCATCGGTGGTYTAGACAGTTGCGTAAGCCTCTTTCTATAACAAGGTRTGACTGGAAACGTAGTTCTTCCACTTTTCAAATTTTTARCGGACACAGAARCTGAATTCAAGACTAAAGTTCCCATCATGCTTTGCTCTAGAAAGTGACGTCGCTGTCTATTGGTACTAAGGCCGTGCTTAMTGTTGAATTTAAGTTATCGTCARGAAAATTAGAAATTTTTCTATCATTGCGATTTCTTTAGGGACCTAGAGGGAACAAAAGTCATTATTATTTGGATAAATACATGGAACATTTTCKAAAGGATGTGCCTCAAAATAAAACAATCAAAACAAATTTACATATTTATACAAAATCATTTATTTTCCTATCGCACTATATTAGATAATTATACCTTGTTTAWATTGGTTTGATGACAACTCTAGAAGCAGCACTTTTGTAGAAATTGAAAACAGATCGTAATATTACTTTTAAGTAATTTCAAATCATAATCCAAACCCTTAAAGACGTTATAGTACAGATAGGTCAGTTTCCCGCCCTGGCATACGAAGGACGTTCTAAAGGGCCGATGAGTGTGGTGCGTGATGTGTTTCCAGAGAAAAATAAGCAAGAGATATCTGTACTGCATAACACAAGTCCATCTCCATCATATGAACAAGCATTGCTTGAGCCGGCAGAAAAAATAGAATTACTAGCTGTAAACATGAAGTTTTCTTGTCACAATGTATCATTATAAATAATGAACTCAAATCGCCTTTATACATGTTAGATTAAAAGCAGTTAAAACATGCAATGAAATAAATAATAACTGAAAGAAGTAAACTTCTCACATTGCATTGTCTAATGGTTGCTTAACCCTGAAAATGAAAAATTAGATTATATTTATTCATGGTTTTTATAATATATGGTATAMGAAATAAAGAATACAATCCAATACAGGCAGCATATAGCATCTTACTGATTTTGCAACTTTACTCAAACTTAATCTGTTCTCATTGACAAATACACTGTAAGAACTGGATTTACCAACRAACACTGTAACAAATGACTACTGTATTTACCCCTTATTGCAAGAACACTTTTGTACATTGTTATTTCTTGAGGAAAGGAATTCATTAAAAGAAGAAAGAAACTCACTCCAGCTGAACTCTATTGATTGCATCTATAATGAATTCCTTTCTCACTACAGCCTTGGTGCAGGCATCCCTAACAATGAAAGCCTGCATGCAGGCTATTCTCACTATAAAGATGACAAAGATTAATTCTCCATATCACACAAGTTTTGCAGTATAATCTTTTAGATAAACATTAATTAGACTTTCTAATGAGAACAATGTTAAAGTTATACTTGGTGTCCTTACATGGTTYAGCTACAGTCATCTGTAGTTCCAGTTGTTTATAGTTACTGCAAGTGTTATCAAAATACACATGTCCTACAGTATCAAACTTACTGACTCAGACCAGCTAAGTCAGACGTACAACATGTTTAAATGTCAACACTATATAATACAGCAGTTCCACAGCACAACTTAACATGCATGTTGATAAGAAGGCTAGAGATGCTGTTGCTTTTCCATTGCTGTTGTAACCTCAACAATGAAAAAGCAGAACAACAGCAAAGCTTTAGTTTAAATGTTTCCCACATGAATCCTTGCATGTTCATTTAACACAATAGTTAATCATAACATATTATATTATAACAGCAATGTTCATAATTAATGTTAATTGCATGGTCATAATTAAATCAAGTTAAGTATTATAATATTAGTACAAATAATAAATCAGATTTAACATCAGACAGCACTTGAACAGTAAAGATCATTCATTCTATCTGTGAAACACTTAGGAAGACATTGCACAAATTTAAACTGCTCTTGGCAAAACAATCAAAGTAGTCATTTGCACAATTCTGTCAACAAAACATTTCACAAATAAAGTGAATGCACTATATTTATAACATTATTCTATAATATCATCATCATCATTCCTATTACGCCTAGGTGGCATGTAGGGCCGCTACTAAGAATTTCAAATAGTATAATATTCTATAATAGGGGTACAGTATATTATCACATATAATGTCATTAGCAAGTACTTTTCCCAATCTAAAAATAGCTTTTTCACAGTTTATATTATATWATGGATAATCAAACTGATGTCAAGTGACTAAAGACTTCAAACCAAATAAAACAGAAAAGATTCAGGTACCTTACTAGTTCAATTCTACATATTGAACATATTACACTCTTGCCTATAAACAAGAACATTTTCTTTTACACAGGGTTCCTGCTACATTTTCATCAATAGATTCCAGGAYKTTTTACGCAATTTTAAAGSATTTCCAAGGAATGTTTTTTTAASATTGCCTTTGATGTTTTTGGGAGKAGCACAAACCCTGTTTACAGGGCCCTCATTCTATCATATAAAATTGCTTTTAGTAATATTTTGATATTTGTTTTTGTTTACTTGTTTAGTATTTGTTTAGTCCAAATAACCTGACTTTGTACATCTGTGGAAACTTGGGAATTAGTGACAGCACAATCAGTGATATAGCATTGACTGTAAAGTGAACTCCATCATACTTGGTGTAGAAACTTGTAATCATGAACCTGAAAATAGCACAATCATTACTTTCTGGGTGAAATGCATGGCAGTGAGAACTTTATTTACAAGTACTGTCTCTAAAGCACAGAAACATAAAAGAATACACACTTCATTGTCCTACATTTGACTATACTGTAAGTAGGTCAAGGAGGTCCCATAGGTATTACCAGGGCTCTATTTACATCATAATACATACTATTCAACAAGTCCTACTTAGAGTACAGATCTGTAACCCAATGGGTCTGCAGTTGAGGATTTATTTGCAGACTTACAGTAATATTGGAACAAGAGTGAAGAACTTTCTTGTCTGAGTAAACTGTGTTCCTTGGTTAATTTGTTCCCAATGAGTCAGCCGTCTTGATCTTCCTTGGTCTGATGTTTCAAATGGAGCACCCTTCAGGTAATGTAGAAGTAAAAACATGGACTGAAAWCAGAACAGCATTCAATTAGTCAGRATGCACTCATTCMTTCARATTGCTCCTMAAAYAACTGGTAATAGYTCAATTCGATATTCTGGTTGCATGATCAGGCTTAAAAGAACTGAGCACGAGGCTCAGGGGAAACAAAAGAATCATTGACCATGTACTTGAATGAAWTTATTGAAAAAGATAAAAGTCAAGATGATTCAACATCATACTTTKCAAAAACGATATAAAACTGACTGTTGMTMTTTTTCAATGAGAGAAACCGCTGAAGCTACTTGCACTAGCTTATCAAAAATACTTTCAMTTTCAAWTTCTTAAATAAATATTTGTTTAACTCGGRCCATCACTGAGGGGCACAATTAGAACATTATTTAAGARTATTCACATATTTATTCTATGTAAGACGTCTTTGGATTTAGCATTTTCATTTTCAACATGAAATAATTTATAAGAAATGTAAGTTATATTATTTGATCAGGATCTTCATTTCAAAAAAAAAATCTATGACTTAACTTAAAACCTACGTTTTATAAGTTAACTTGAGCTTACTGTTATACTTAAAGATTGCTCAAGCTTTTGTGGTTGTAAGTTTATATATTACAGTGTAAACTCTTCTTTAATAATTGTTTGAGTACAAAGTACTTCACACGCAATTTCACATTGAAAGTAACGTTAAGTTAGATTGTCTATATAACACTAGAACTAACAAAACTTACTACGTTATGCATTGTATTTGTAATAGTCCAGGCGGTGGCTGTGTCAAGAAATGGTACACTTAATATCACAAGATGACCGATCGCTATTAGTATGACGTAAGTTAGCCATGTCCCTTTACTGTCAAGCCACGATTCGTTGGGATTTTGAGAGCTATGAGCCGTTCCAACCTGCATTATTTCTCTATTTACAAATTCCCACAAGACGAACGAAATAATTTCCTTCACTTGTTTGCTCTTCGTTGAAAAACTACTGCGCAAGTTCTCACAAGACAGCCGCTGGTCGATTATTACACAGGAACCCCGCGGAYTTCGCGCACGTYCACCATGACTTGAGGGAGATATTGAAAGTTTCGTGGGTATATAACTTATGTAASTTCAGTGTTTTCGTAATTTTTGTTGTTATTGTTGTTGCCAAATGGTATTAGAGGCTCCCTGTTTCTTTTCCAAAGGCCAGGATTCTAAGGGATTCAAACATGGCCGACTTCTTGTGTGGTTGTCCTCAGCTCAATTTGGAAGTTTTTGACCTTTTCTTGGCCTTAAAATTACAAAACAAAGTTATTGCAAAAGAGGTAAGATTGCCAACTATTTAAATGAAGTTGCAAGCCGTAAACATGATATTTTTGCCTATCTTTGTTTGTTTTGCTTGTTTGTTTACTTTACAAAATTACAAAATTTTCTCATTTCAATTTCTATGCATTGTTTGTCTATGTCCATGTTTCATTCCTTATAGCTAATGTTTCTTAGAGCGGATTTCGTATGAGTGGGACACCGTTACCGCACGGTCACCGCACAGTTACCGCACCTGGCCTGCACAATTTTGGTGAACCAATGGGGCACTAGAATTTGATTACAGTACGATTACGGTCACAGTACAGTACCGTCCGTTTCCCACTCATACGAAATCCGCTCTACATTGCATAACATTGCTATTACATTGCTCAAGCTCATTGAGTTGATTGTCTATATCATAACTTGACTATCTATGTATTATAGTATTTATGCAACAATTATATACAATTTAATACAGTTCAATTTTCAAGAAAATTTTAATACTTCAAGCAGTGGTTAAGTTTGGTGTGCGTGCGCAGGATAATCGAGTAAAGAAGCATTTGGYTCCTTTGTTACCGGAAATGCAGTATTTGTGACATTCGCTTTTTCCTTTTTCTTATTTTTATTTATGACTATTTTCAATGGCTAGCAGTGTGAGCACTTCTAGACACGGAACTCTGAGATCTCATCGAGAYTCTCATTGAAGACTGAAGTGCGCGGAAACTGGAACCGAGGGACCGACACAGGGTTTCCGATCGTAAAAGCACAGAACAGAGCACAAACTAACAGAAATTCCAYATGAGAACGCTATAAAAGAAGATTTATGGGAGGACCAGTTGTTAGACAATTGGTCTCTGATCAGTCAATGATCAGTCAGTATTTATTCGATATTTTAATTGTCCTCAAAATTTCCTTTAATAAAGTCTTGATGTGTTTCATATAAATTGTACATAGAATAGGCTCCAACAATACAAGAAATTCATAAAATATAGATAAAACGTCAACCTTTCTGATTTTCCTTTTTCTACTGCCTTCTGTGTCGTTATATCAGCTACCAATGAACCTAATCACGCGTCCGTTTTACAATAGTTCTCATGTCCTGTCCACTCTAATGTCAGTTTGGTCTCCGGTTTAAAATGAATCTTCTTCAAAATACATTAGAGTAGGTGGGGCCCTTGAAAAGACTGGAATCAGCCCACATTCATTAAYGTCAGCCTGGCTAATGTTTCGATTAAAGCGCAATGATTCCATTGAAATCATTTTCTATTTGAATTTAAATGAAAAAAGTGAGAGTGGTCAACGTCTTGGTCCGTATTAAATATGAATCGCTGACAGTTAACATGGGCTTTTAGCTTTTTCTTTAAAATAATCGGCCACAAAAGTGGACGGGCGTCAGAAGTTWAGCTTTCGTCTGGACTCCTCGTCGCACAGTATATCAAGCATGTATCTGAGCTTCTTCTTCGTTTCTGGATGATTGTCATGCTCTGAAAGTGTAAATAATCCGTAAACCACTAAATATGATACGATGTGTTTGAGTCTATCGTTATGTAAATACCTGTGTCTTGGTCCTTAAACCTGTGGTAAAATTGCGACACGTACGTAAGCATGGCCAGCTCATCTGGAATGGTGTCCACTACATCTCCGACGTCTAATAAAGCAGGAATGCCAAGCTCTTCAGCTGCAGTGAACGCCTGATAAGAATGATCATTGATCACGAATAATCATTTAATCAATCAATCAATCAATCAATCAATCAATCAATCAATCAATCAATCAATCAATAAATCAATCAATCATTTAATCAATCAATCAACTAACCAATCAATCGAACAATCAATCAATCAGTTAATCAACCAATCAGTGACATTTAAACACTTAGTCGATTTGTGATGCAAATGATCAAAAACACAAACAAACAAACGAGGAAAAAAATCTCACCAAGCTGACGTTCTTTTGTGGGTCGTCTTTKGTCAAATCATCAAAGTTTCTTGAATAGAACACAAATGAATAAAAAATAGGTAAAAATAATTAAAAAAAACATTGGAATAATTATCAATAGAGATCTATTTCGTTCGTCAGTAAATAAGACACCTATTTAGAAATCAACCTTACTTTGATTCGATTTTTTTCCCGGTGTGACACAATACCTATCTTTCATTTTGTTTTCTTTTGTTTGGTTCACGTTTAGAATATATTCATGTACTTTTTTGGTCATAAAAATCTGACCTACAGATGCGTTTTCGCAGTGTTTGTTTTTTATCCTGCTTTTAAGTTCTATTTTTGTTATCCCTTTCAACAGATCTCGTTYGTAATTTACTCGTCGGGAATTACAATAAGAAAGATTTTGATAAAAGGGAAATTGTTGTTTTATTGCTAGCATTTTCATCATCGAATACTGCACTTCATACAAATGGAATGACCATTTTTGGTGTCTTTTGAAGAGGAGTCCTCTTCCAGCTGTTGTGCAAATCCTTGCTTTTGTGTATATCAGATTCATTTAACTATTTTAGGAATATGGTTTTGGTGTTGTAATTAAGAAGAAATTACCATRTATATTTAATTGTGAGAGTAACAGATCTCAGCGAACAAAAARTCCTCTCCTCGCATATCGCGTCGTAGACTGGAAGCTTACAAACTGTTTTGCTTCAACATAAGTGCCTATATTTGTTTATCATGTATTTTGTGGAATATTTATTTTTAGGTTGAAAACTTTAAAAAGTCATTTATTCATTTATGATTGATGTGTACGTATTTTGCCGTCTTTTCAGTTTTCATTCATTTTTTTTATTGTTTTTTATGAATCATTTCATAACAGTGTTTTACAGCTTTGGGTTTACATCGACACCTCCAGGAAACAATAAACCTAAATTAAATACATACTTTGCGGAATTGAAAGAAATGCGATCTACGAATTCAAAATATACATACAGTCTCATTCAAAGCTGAACAAGTTTTTGGAGACATCATCTGGAGATTGAGGGATGCCAAGATAYCTGACATTTAAGGGATAMGTTCTTCTTACGATTGACCCGATYWCAGTGCTGTCGTAGTTAATTGTCACCGTTGTGTTATGACCAGCGARAGAATGCTCTTGTGRATTTGAGTAATTTCCCARACTGCCTGTCAAAGTGACATTCATTTTATCGGAAGATATCCCTCGTTCAACTTGTTTACATGCATGCCATTTTTCTCTCATATTTTTTTCTATTTCAATCCAATTCAATTTGGTTTGTTTCAGCTTAAAATAAAAAKAGWCAYTATAGGTGCAATTTATATGCATYCAAAACCGTACGTTTCACAAAAATACGCACCTTGTCTTTGGCTTTTCGATGTCGACATTGATTTGGTTCTAARTGTGTAAACATTTTGCSGCAGAAATGAAGCGTAGTTTCAAAATTCCGTTTCTAAAAGGTCTGTAGTTCACTACTAGTCTATATGCAAATACATACAGTATATTATGAAAAAATACTTACATTAAATCTGGTCTGAATTTATGGATGAGAGCGCAAAAAGCCAGGCCGTCCCGCCATGAGTCGGTCATATTAATGACTCGTACGTCTTTGTAACCAGTGGTTTTTTGTTTGCACCATTCCAGTAGCGCTTCTTGGCCTTTCAAGACTGAATCATGCTTCAAGCCATGTACCCTACAATCATCCATTTGGTCGCATACAAAAAACAAACAAACTTCCTCGATTTTTCTGCTACTGAATTGTAAAAAAAAAACTGTAATCGAAAAAACGGTTTAGTTTAGCGCAGTAGTGACCGTTGATATTTGTAACTGTAGTGGGAACTTCCTTCAGGAATTATATTCGCTCGAAAATGTCAAAACATGATACCAGCGATATTTGTATTTTGCCGAAAACCAATTACCAGTTGCATGGAATTAATACAGCCCAGCTTGTCAACCGTTGGTTTAGAAGGTGCAAAATCCGTCCGTCGTGAGATTAATTACACGTTATATGAAAAGACTACGARCGAATGGATGATTACCGCAATTTGAGTGCTTGCACACTATTGGCTGCTCGAGGGCTTATATATTCTAAAATTCAGTATGCTATATTAAATTACCATAAATATGGTTCAAAAGTTCCCGCTTTCGTTCAAATTCAAAGATGTTTATCTTACTTTAACCATAAACTATCAAAAACCGATGAAAACAGCTTGTTGTGATCGCTTCTCTATTTCRTTCACGGTTGTACAAAAACTCTTTCAATGTATGATGCAGAGAAAAATAGATAATCACGGGTATAAACAGTTTATTGTGATTCGTGATTAAACCATCATYCAATGCGGAAAGATAAAAGGATAATTTTATTGACCATTGAATACGAAAACATCAAGGATTTCATAAAAAATACCCCCAAAATGACAGGATGGTCCAAAAAAAMCCGTTATCTGGTATAAAAATCAAAAGACGCAAAGGAACGTCATTTATACATGCAAACTGTTTTYATATGTAAAAATACCGATCTTTGAACAATAACACTGTTAATAACACTTAAATTCAATGGCTTTTCATAGAGCGGTTCAAATAGATTATCTTGTCATCGAAGATTATGAAAAACAAATTGTGTTTCCACTAATGAAATCTGGTTTGACAACACGATATGGTAGACGCATGCGTGCCAATGTGTTTTATAGATATGAATGTATAGAGTTGTTAATTGTGGTGATTCTTCGACGCTGTAAAAATCCTTCATTTCACTTAGAAGTTCGCGCTGAATTACCTGGACAATGAAACAAATGAAAGAATCGATTAATAAATTATTAATCAATTCGAATTGTTAATCATCCTTTTGAGTTATGATGAAAATCGCGATGATGATAATAATGATTATGATGATGAAATCAATGCGATATACAATAGTGAACATTATTTACTTGTCGTGAATGTGTTCCACGATCTTGGCCGATAACCACAAAAGCCAAGAGCGGTTCCGATGACGAGTTTATATCCTCTGAAATACCGCGGGCTCATCTTGCCGTACAACACAGGGTTACAAAGCGCGTAAATTAGTGACATCCCTCCAACCATGATCAAAACAACATTAGAYGAGTTTTCTTTCTGCACCAGAATGACAACATTGCTTATCTAATAACAYAAAATGGAGCACTTCAAATTAACTTAAGAAAATATAACGTAAAGAGACATAGAAAAATCTACAGTCTACTAGAACCTGTTTTAGAATAAGTTAGAAATAATCTGAGTATTTTAAGTATTTTAATTATGCATCTCTTTGCTTCGTTGAAGATTGTGTGTTGTGCTTCTTCTGCCTGCTCCAWGCTTAGCTTGTGYTGACACCGATACATAGGATCAATTTCAGTTTTTATAAGTGCTTATCAATAATATTAGTTATTTTACATTTAAATTTATAACCATAGTACTAACTACTATTTCTAGCTTGTCTGACTTCACCTACCAAAACTGGAAGAAAGCTCACGTAGTAAAGAATAACCACCACGGCCATCATTCTCGTTAGTCTTCTCACTTCTTTGATTCCTTTGGCTTTGTTTAACGAGCCTATACTTTCTCGCTTCTTTGTATCCATATTRTTTGGTGTATTGGTTCTTCTTTCAGGGATATTTTCAATGTTTGGTGCACTTGTTCTTCTTGCGGTTACGTCTTCAGTGTCAGCTGTACTAATTGTACTTGTAGTAACACTTTTAATGTCTGCTGTACTAGCTTTTCTTGCAGTGACAGTTCCATGTYTGTTCATTGTCCCTGGTGCCATAATCTTTTGTCTCTGTATAAACTTCTTGCTAGTAAGTTTGATTACAATGAAACAARCCAAAACAATACTCAACAGTAAGAATGATGCACTCAATAAAACGATAGCAGTACTTGTTCCAAGGAAATAAAACTGATATAAACACCTGCCATTGTCAAATCCTGAATGTCCAACACCTAGAAGTGGTAAAGCACCGAAAAAMACTGACATGACCCAGACTACAGCAACCGCTTTCCTGGCTCTACTTATGGTAACCCKAATATGATGCTGGAGTGGGAACACAAGGAGAAACGCCCTCTCCAAAGCTATCAGGGCTATAGTTCCAGCAGATGCAAAGCGCAAAGAGTTTACAAACACAACAAATATATCACAAACAACTTTTTCCCAAGGTTTGGCAACAAGGTACTTGGTGATGATAAGGATTTGGAGGGGAAATGTCGCATTGATAACATCTGCAAGTGAAAGCGAGCAAAGTAAAATGTCGGTGACGATGATTTTCTTTTGATGTCTTAATGATAGAACCACCAACAAATTGCCCAACGCGACAGCTATGAGTATAACTTCAATTACTACACCAATAGTTGTTTTGCTTATTGCCAACTCTGTTGTATCATTGGATGTTGTATTGGAGCTGATGTTAGCCATAGTTTCATTCTTGACAGAAAATTGTATTGCCATATTCATATATATGAACATACGACATGTATGTGTCGGTGTGTAATCGCTGCATGAATATCTTGTCTGCATATAAGAAAGAAAATATAAACACTTCACTACTTACAAAATATTTTCGAATTGTTACGTATTTCCTGAGTAGATATTGACAGGTCACAGATGAACAGTCTTCTGTGAACAATGAACAATTCAACAACTGGTAGTTGAAGGTAGAAAGTACGTAGAAAGTTTTTTATGGATTCCTTTCTAAAGATAGATCAATAATTTTCAAGTTCTGACTTCTTCACAAACAATTCTTCTTCTTCTTCTTCTTCTTCTTCTTCTTATAAAAACTGCTCATAATTTAAGAATAAGTTGCTAAATCGTGAGATATACGTTAAAACTGCAGAGGAAATGACGTGTCCCCTTGCAACCCCTCAAGTTTTTGGAAAATTTAATAAGTGTACATGTATAGAGATAAACATTTGAAATATAAGATTTCTCAAGTGTTGTGCCATTGCCTAGCAACCTCCCCCCCCCCCCCCCCCCCCCACCCCACCGTTTCCAATAAACAAAATAACAAATCTCGCTACGGCTCCTGACTAGGTGATCATTAGTTAAAGAATGCTGTAAGACAAACGCACTGCCCAGTTATTAGTTAGCCCCAATGGTAGACATATTCATTTTTCAGGGGGGGGATGAACACTTTTTCAAGTGTTTGGAGTGTTAGTCATCAGTTCATGGGCACTGGATATCTAGTGCTAAATATAGCTAGTTWYGCATGACTACCTAAGGCATAACCGGTGGCCTGCTTCACACCCRCAAGGACACTGTACTGACATTTATAACTGCCTCATATCGACCCTGATWGGGCATTTATTTTTGTGGACCTCAGTATATTTATGTTTTTTTGTTCATACTGGATATTGAATCAAGACTGCGATGCTTTAACTTTGATATTGTGTTTACAGCGGATGTCATATTTTTATGTTGATTCCATATGCTAATTCAACAAATAGTTTCGATTAATGAATGATTAGTAAATTATTCAATTTACATCGTTATTCTTTTCTATACCTTCCCATAGTCATTATTGCCACAATGATGGAATCAATAGGCTAATAAGATTGATTATAATGCAAGTGATGACAAGAAGATCTAGAATTCAAGATAAAAATCCAGCCAATTGAATTACCATTATTATTTTTCCTTCGCCTTTCCATAGCCATTATTGCTACTAAACATTATCCCTAAAACCCCTGGGAGGGCATCGATACTCTTAATGCTGCATTCGTCCAAGAATTTAAWGATAACTAGAGACTCAGCCAATGCATGAACTGTTTAATCCAAGCATTCTTTTTACAATGCTCTGTCTAATATTCACCTTATACCAAACTCCCCAAGCTTTAATTCAGGTTTCAAATTTGTACCGTTATTATTACACTATGTAATTGTTAATCAAGTCCCTCAAAAGATAATAATAAGTTAATCAGGAGTCCATTGTTAAACCATGAATGAATGGTCTCATTATACCCTAGACTGCTTTTGAGACATCTATTAGTACAACTGCAAAATACCCTTACTACAGGCCATGCTAGTAGTGTTAAATTACTAATTTATTTCCTGTAAACGTTTCATTTGGATCAGTAATCTCATTGGTCAAGCCTCACTCTTTAACCAGGACTAATTTCCTGGGATGTCGATCCGCGCACACCACGCGCCAGTCCACCGTCTGTTTCCTATCGCACTTTAAGATGTAAAATGCTTTCCATCTGCTATCCCAATAWATTTGYAATCTGTGAGTGTGACCGGCTCGCTCGYTGGTGATGACCGTAAGTTGGTGACCGTGAACGCCAGGCATTTCCTTCAAGAAGGCAATCTACAGCATGAAAAAAGTAATATAACATTTCATCGAACGAKTTTTTTCCAACGCTTTTTAACTATTGCTACCTTAATGTTATATTGAAGAGTTGAGGATGTTTTATTGATGTTAGTTTGCGGGACTTCGGTTATTGTGAGCTCGGTCTTAGCTTGTGTCGTRTAAAAATGCGCACGAGCAATTCCCGCCAATGACATTAAATTATACTCTTTCGGACTAGACGGTAACGCAGGAAACGGTATTTTCACTTAATTTCACGAAGAAAGTTTGAAAAACGAAAGGTATTTGAACCAAAGTGCAAAATTTTTCCCGATCGCGATTGTGAGTGAGGCAAAATTAGAGTTGGAGGGTATGAGAAATCGCGATTTTTCTTTTATCTTTAGCTTKATAATAACCTCAAAACGGAAGCAAAATATCAGCTAATATGGTGAATACTTTCGCATCTTCCATCTCGCCAATCAAAACTAGTCTAATAATTACCTCCTTTGGTGTTAAATAAAAGTGGTGTGTATGAGGTCCAGGAACTTTGCTCTGTAATTGCGCATTTTGGACTTCATAACGGAGGCTATTTTGTGGAGCTGCAGTAGGCTTTGGACCACAGTTATGTATTGGCTCTCGGAATATGTAACCATTTTTCGAGGAATCTAGTACCAAGTCTTTGGTGGCTTCCAGCTCTTTCCACACAGAACTTCCCTCGCCGTGGACTGGTGCAATGGGAAACCGTTGACGCATAATACCAACATCAACAATATTAGGTAAGAAGATTCTCGTTCCACTGGCTTTACACTTATGCACGTTTCCTGTTAATAGCAATAGTATCACATTAAGTGAAAYGATTTTCGGTACAAGGTCGCACATGCTTCGGAATGATCTCGTCGATAATCCATCGTCCATCATAGTACGACGATTAGAAGCTGGTACAGTTTGGCATATCAGAAGYTGTGGGCACATGGCTAGAAATCATAGCCTAAATCTAACTGACAACAGACATTACAGCCACCCTTTACTACCCTGAAATACCTTTTTTGTCAAGTACWCCAACAGTGTTCCTCGTGGTATCTGCTGCTCCTTTCCCTACTTCACTTCCTGAAAAGAACTCCACGGGTGTTATGTAGTACTTTCTGCTGTGGGTGCCGTTGTACGCTTGATGTGGAMGCATTCCACCATATCGTCCACCTCTCTCAACCGTTTTAGCCAGGTCTGTCTTTGCGTCGCCTTTATATTCAATATTGTGAGGATTCCACTTGCTCAATGGAGTTAAATAGATAATCTCAAGTGGAATGGCGTACGACCATCTCTGATTGACAGTTTTACAAACCTTTTTCCATTTGTTATMAATTTTTTGCCATTTACAAGTCTTGGAGCTCATTTCTGCGACATTAGGTTGTGTGTTCATTGCCATAAAGAGGTTCTGGTCGGAAAATCCACGATGACGTGTAGAGGTACCCATTGCACCTTTCCTTTCAACAGTATAATAGCGATGATAACGAGCGGCGTTGAGCTTCACTTTATCTCGTTTTGGATCATTCGAGTAGGCTGTCATGTCAAATGCTTCRTCTTCCAAATAGGCGCGATAGTTATCTTTCCCGGGAATCTGTCAATCAAAAATAAAGTAAGCTGGGTAAATAATTGATTCATGTTGATTGAGTGGTGGGTATGAAATGACGTCCCAAAAACTGCCTAAACCAATATGACAGTAGTTTTGCTATAAAACATTATTCACAATTATATACAAGTTACATTATCGTTTTCTTACCTTGATTTATTTTTCGCACATGTAATTAGCTAAAACAGAAAACTGCTATTTAATACACAACTGACCTCGCTCATCAGTGAATCCAGAAGGCCCCATCTCTCGTTGTTCCTGCCTTCAGTCGACTTAGCCCAGTCTTTATCAAAGGGGTTTATCTGGAAGCGTGCGGCACGTGACATGCTGTGTTGTTTTAACGTCTTTTTGAATGATAATCGTGAGCCAAGCTCGTCGACCACACGAAGATGATTCAGAGGAAGATCTCGGCTGACTGGATGACACATTATGCGGTAGTTCCACTGGGCAAACTCGGGATATCCTTCCTCGGTTACATTTATCATCGTCGTAGGAAGAAACGAGAAGTTCTCCAAGTTGTCCTTGCGACCAGTGTACGAGGTGAAGCGGATTTTCTCTTGCAAGTCAAACCAGCTGCTWGCGTCGACAAAGTGTCTGTCACTCTCAAAAGGTTCCTCTACTTTACCCTTGGTAGAGGTTGTCCACACCCCCTCTAAATAACACAGAACTGGTTTAAAGTATTTTCGATAATCTCTGGTCTTATTATTTTGATCTCTCCATGCCTTAAACCATTCGCGCATTTCGTCAATCTGATCATCTAGTGTTTTCTTTTGCAATACTGCAGGTGGGACGTCTGGGAAAGGTATGTTTTCTTTAGCGTGCCAATCTTTTGAGGTTGTGGATGGCATATAGAGACGATAGTCGTTGTGCCTGGTTCGGAATTCAACACCATTGAGGACCCCAATGAATTCWCCCATACCTACAGTACGGATGTTGTTGGAATGGTCGTGGATGGACATGAAGCTTCCACTTGCATGCGAAGGTGAATGGTAGTTACGGGTTCCATCAATACTAACCCGTACTTGTTTGACACCTGAATCGCCATCGGATCGAATTCGCTCTTCGACGAAGAGTTGTTGCAACAGYACTTGCCTGTTCGTGGCAGCCATGATCTTTTTCATTGCATCAACTGTTTTCTTCATGCTGTCMACATCACTAGCGTATTTTTCAAACTCTTTGTCGTTCACTTCGATTAGACGTGGCTGAGCGATACCCGTCAGTAGGATCAACATCATCACACCAACAYTGGAGCACATTTTCGATTATTGCCCTGTTACAACAAGACGAATAAATGTCACAGTTAAGATATACGAACATTTTAAATGACATGGCTCTTGATGGCGGGTCTTCTTCATAATTACTGGAAAAAAAATAACCAAAGGGCATGTGGACGGAATCACGAATCCTGAATTGTGATTGGATATTAGGCGGGAAAAGTGACCTTAAATAAGGGTTTAACTGACACACAAGTGCATGCACGATTTGAAATTTGCTCACGAATCTCATCCTGACTAGTTACTCCAGAGCTGCGTCCCCCTTTCAAATCGTTGTTGTCCCCTTTTTCTCARTATTATTTTAGCTCTCAATGATACCTGAAACGCTTACAGATATTTATATTAGGACGGTAGTTTTTAGAAAGGCATTTGGTTGACCTCTTGATTTATAATAATGTTGTTTTTGAAGAGACGTCGAATGACTTACTTGACTTCGTATTCCTTACAATTTATATAACATAATTGTCTTTGCACGCAAATTCAAAATTCAAGGTAACTAGTTTCGTCTTYACAGAGACCTTGTCAAGCCTGAATGTTATATAATTAGGTCTACCTGAATACTTTTCTTTGATCGCATCGGTTTTCTCTCTTGTTATGTGTAAGATGTACAATGCGCTCAACAGCGTCATGCAACGTGTTTCACTTTCAATCCAACACAATTGTTCCATGAAAAAGTTTATATTACATGACATTTGTGGCATTGTTTTACTCATTCTATCAGCTCATTCATTCAAGTAAAAAGACGTTTTGAATCCCTGCTCAGCTTTAAGAGGCGTTWGGGAAGTAGGGGGTGGTATAGGGGAGGTGGTTTCGCCATTTTCGCACGCTAATTAGTAGATGGTGAGATCGAGGCAACGGAATTTTGTGTGTGAATGCTTTTTATGAATGGTAGTCGATTATAATAATATGAAAAAAAA